TTATTTTATTTATTATTATTTAATATTATATAATAATATTATGTAATATATATATATAAATATTTAGATATTATATTATATGTATTATTATAATATCTAAATTTATTATTATTTATTATTATATAATAATATTATATTATTCTATATAGGGACTACGGATGAAAATTAGCTTTGTAGCTACAATCCGGCATATTTACATTTGTTTTCACTGATGTCCATTAATGTGCTTTGTCCCTATTCAAATAAATAAATAAATAAAAAATAATTCTATAGACGTCTTTGGCAGCCAATGAGTTAATTTCAGATTATCAGAAAACATCTTTGTTTTTTTTTTACCCTGACGCTGAACCCGACGGCGTACGATCCATTGGGGCATTTCTCCTGCCAGGTCCAGTCCCCGAACTCCCCCCCGTTGGTGACGGTGAGCAGGGACCTGTGCTGCCGGCTGTTGAAGGCCCCCCCGGCCCTCTGCAGGGCGCCCCCCCCCCCCGCGGAGCCCAAGGCCCATTAGGGCGGTCAGCACCACGGACAGCACCACGGCGGTCAGATCGCTCCTCATGGTTATTTCGGACCCCTGAACCAGACCGGGGCCTTTAAAGGTTCCCGGTATCAGCCGGGTGAATCATTAACGGGGGGGGGGGGGGGGGGGAAAAAACAGCTGCCCGGGGGGTGGGGGGGTAAACTGGGGTGGATTTAGTAGAAATACAGAGGAAGGACCAGGTTAGAAAGCCTGGTTTGGAAGAGGGTTGATTAAATTCATTATGAAATTTAAAAATAATAAAATAAAATAAAATAAAGTCCACAAAATGTGGCACACCCAGAAAGGTCCTGGTTCCCCCGGGACTCCAACCCAGAACCCTCTGGCAGAAAGGGGGGGGGGGTAAACTGGGGTAGATTTAGTAGAAATACAGAGGAAGAACCAGGTTAGAAGGCCTGGTTTGTAAGCGGGTTGATGCCGGTTATTAGGAAATAAAAAATAATATAATAAAATAATAAAATAAACCCCACAAAATGTGGCCCACCCAGAAAGGTCCTGGTTCCCCCGGGACTCCAACCCACAACCCTCTGGTCCTGGTCCAAAACTACAAACTCGTGCTCAAATCAATTAGAATAAATTTTTTAAAAATGGCCGATCATTTTTTAAAGCCTACTTTTTAAGCCTCTTTTGAATTTTTTTTATGATTAAAGAAGTGATTTGGGTTGAGAATCCTTTATATGTTCTATTGATTAAATCAATTCGATTAAATTCAATAGAATTGGCCGATCAACGCGTTCATACCAAAATTTTGCCTGTTTTTTAAGCCTACATTGAATTGTTTTTCTGATTAAAGAAGTGATTTGGGTTAAGAATCCTTTATATATTCTATTGATTAAATCAAGTCGATTAAACTAAGAAGAATTTATATAAAAATTTTGTCTGTTTTTTAAGCTTACTTTGTATTTTTTATGATTAAAGAAGTGATTTGGGTTAAGAATCCTTTATATATTCCATTGATTAAATAAATTCAATTAAATTAAACAGAATTGGCCGATCAGCGCATTCATATCCAAATTCATACTCGTTCATACTCTTTGAAACTTTTTTTTTATGATTAAAGAAGTGATTTGGGGTAATAATCCTTTTTATGTTCTATTGATTAAATCAATTCGATTAAATTCAACAGAATTTATATCAACATTTTCTGTTTTTTAAGCTTATTTAGACTTTTTAAGCCTACTTTGATTTGTTTTTTATGATTAAAGAAGTGATTTGGGTTAAGAATCCTTTGTATGTTCTATTGATTAAATCAATTCGATTGAATTCAACAGAATTGGCCGATCATCGAGTTGATTTTAGTTAAGAATCCTTTACATATTCTATTGATTCATATGAACTTGAGGATCTCTGACACTGGTTTTGTGCTTTTGTGGTTCTGAGTCTATCATAAAGACTTCTAATGAGAGCTGTGGAGGCAAAAAAAAACAGGGACGTTCACAGAACAGGACTTCATCTGAGGGCAGTAATGTCGTTTTAGACCTTTGGTGACATTATTGACGAGGAGGTGGTTTTCATCCTGAAACAGGAGGTTCGTTCCCACGCCAACGCTTATCAGAACGCCCCGTCAGGACTTTTCCAGCGGAGGGATCAAAGGTTTGTGTGGAGAACGCCGGCAGGATTTAGATGTTTCTGAGTCCTGTTCCGGTTCTGGAGACGATCCGGTGGACGTTTAGATTTATGAACAAAAAGCTCCAGAATGACCTGAGGAAGTGTCTAAAAAAGAATGGAAATAATATAAATTGTGTTTTTTCAGAGAGGTAAAGAAGTGTGGTGGTAAGCACCCTCACAGCCAGAAGGAACCAGGAACTTTCCACATTTTGTGGAGTTTATTTTATTTTAATTTCATAATAGCCAGCATCATAGGAACAAAATGGTAATATTTTTTAACAACACATTTTGTGGAGTTTATTTTATTTATTTTTTTATTTTATTTCATAATAGCTGGAATATTTTTTAACAACACATTTTGTGGAGTTTATTTTATTTATTTATTTATTTTATTTAATAATAGCTGGAATATTTTTTCACAACACATTTTGTGGAGTTTATTTTATTTATTTATTTATTTTATTTCATAATAGCCAGAATATTTTTTAACGACACATTTTGTGGAGTTAATTTAATTTATTATTTTTTTTATTTCATAATAGCCGGCATCATAGGAACAAAATGGGATTTTTTTTAATGCCACATTTTCGTTTAGCGACACTTTAGGAACACAAAGCCCCTCGATGCTTAAACGAAGCCCATTTGTTTATTTTTTGTCTAAACCCCTGATGGCTGAGGCCCCGTTTCCTCCCCGGAGGATTGTGATTGGATTACAGTGACACTGACCCCAGTTGGCTGGAATTGGATTGTGCCCACATTTGTTGGCGCTGTTCAGATAAAACTGAATTAAATAACACTCTAGGATCACATTATCTCCAGGAAGAAATCAAATCCTCACTCAGAGGCTCGTTTTGTTTTTTTAAATCGCCACAAATGGGCTTCGGAAAAGAATAAAAACGAGCTCAAATAGACCAAAAGCAACCACATAGAAATATCAAATGAATTATTATGCAAAAGCACCAAAATTACAGGAGGTCAGGCAATGTCACGTCAAATGGCAAAAAAGAGGAAAAGGTAGGAAAAAAGAGGATTAAACTGGTTGTAACTGGTAAGGCAGAAATTAAGTTATTTATTAAGATATTGTTTATTAAAAGGTAAAAGTTGAGTTGGGAGATATTGTGGTACGCTTTGTGGCCTGGTAATGTTCAGTTTCTATTGTGCTTATGGTTGAGCCACAGTGAAAATGTTCGATTTAAAAATGTTTGTTTGAACTAATTTATTTACTTTTGAAAGGTTTTCAACTTAATCCTAATTCCAGTCTTAAATCACAAAAATCTGATGGTCAAGTTCAACGAATAAAACACAATGGAAAAGGATTTGAAGCTAGAAACCAGACAAACAGGCTGGTTTTGTTCCTTTAAATGGAAAAATCCATGAACGTTACTGTGATTGTGTTGAGATAAAACTCACCAGAAACGGAGAAATCACATAACTTTTTTATAGAGCAGATAAAGACTGAGGCGGGAATCTGAAAAGCTCAAAACAAATATGGTGGCTACTTCCTGTCTGTCCCCTCCAGCCGTTGACCCTCACTTCCTCTGGAAGGAAATGATTTTAGCCCAAAATGATGTGATGAACCAGTGGGGGGAGGAAAACTGCTTCCTTTCATATGGAGAAAATTAAACTAACGGAGTGGAACCGGTTTCGAATGTACTGTAGCTTTAAGGGAAGAATTAAGAAATGAGTCCCGAATACAGACAAACCTGATCCAGGGTGGTCCAATTTGTTCCAGGTAATTGGATTAGTGGTCATCCTAGAGGCTGGAATATATAAAAAATAAGTAATAAATAACAGATGTTACATAAACAAACATGAAGCTGTTCCGGAAACAGCCGAAGTCACATTTACCCATTTTTGTTCAACTTATTGTCCGTAAATAAATCAAAATGAGTCACAGAAGTCCCCATAAACCTCCAGGAGACGCTCAGTTTTTATATGAGGAATGCCCTAAAGGATTCCTCTGTCCCAGTTCGGGGGACTGCAGCTGCATTT